ACATACAGACCTCACAAGTTTTTATCCTTTTCCAAGGGACACCCGCTGGGAGCAACAGGTAACAATACATACAGACCTCACAAGTTTTTATCCTTTTCCAAGGGACACCCGCTGGGAGCAACAGGTAACAATACATACAGACCTCACAAGTTTTTATCCTTTTCCAAGGGACACCGCTGGGAGCAACAGGTAACAATACATACAGACCTCACAAGTTTTTATCCTTTTCCAAGGGACACCCGCTGGGAGCAACAGGTAACAATACATACAGACCTCACAAGTTTTTATCCTTTTCCAAGGGACACCCGCTGGGAGCAACAGGTAACAATACATACAGACCTCACAAGTTTTTATCCTTTTCCAAGGGACACCCGCTGGGAGCAACAGGTGACAATACATACAGACCTCACAAGTTTTTATCCTTTTCCAAGGGACACCCGCTGGGAGCAACAGGTAACAATACATACAGACCTCACAAGTTTTTATCCTTTTCCAAGGGACACCCGCTGGGAGCAACAGGTAACAATACATACAGACCTCACAAGTTTTTATCCTTTTCCAAGGGACACCCGCTGGGAGCAACAGGTAACAATACATACAGACCTCACAAGTTTTTATCCTTTTCCAAGGGACACCCGCTGGGAGCAACAGGTAACAATACATACAGACCTCACAAGTTTTTATCCTTTTCCAAGGGACACCCGCTGGGAGCAACAGGTAACAATACATACAGACCTCACAAGTTTTTATCCTTTTCCAAGGGACACCCGCTGGGAGCAACAGGTAACAATACATACAGACCTCACAAGTTTTTATCCTTTTCCAAGGGACACCCGCTGGGAGCAACAGGTAACAATACATACAGACCTCACAAGTTTTTATCCTTTTCCAAGGGACACCCGCTGGGAGCAACAGGTAACAATACATACAGACCTCACAAGTTTTTATCCTTTTCCAAGGGACACCCGCTGGGAGCAACAGGTAACAATACATACAGACCTCACAAGTTTTTATCCTTTTCCAAGGGACACCCGCTGGGAGCAACAGGTAACAATACATACAGACCTCACAAGTTTTTATCCTTTTCCAAGGGACACCCGCTGGGAGCAACAGGTAACAATACATACAGACCTCACAAGTTTTTATCCTTTTCCAAGGGACACCCGCTGGGAGCAGCAGGTAACAATACATACAGACCTCACAAGTTTTTATCCTTTTCCAAGGGACACCCGCTGGGAGCAACAGGTAACAATACATACAGACCTCACAAGTTTTTATCCTTTTCCAAGGGACACCCGCTGGGAGCAACAGGTAACAATACATACAGACCTCACAAGTTTTTATCCTTTTCCAAGGGACACCCGCTGGGAGCAACAGGTAACAATACATACAGACCTCACAAGTTTTTATCCTTTTCCAAGGGACACCCGCTGGGAGCAACAGGTAACAATACATACAGACCTCACAAGTTTTTATCCTTTTCCAAGGGACACCCGCTGGGAGCAACAGGTAACAATACATACAGACCTCACAAGTTTTTATCCTTTTCCAAGGGACACCCGCTGGGAGCAGCAGGTGACAATACATACAGACCTCACAAGTTTTTATCCTTTTCCAAGGGACACCCGCTGGGAGCAACAGGTGACAATACATACAGACCTCACAAGTTTTTATCCTTTTCCAAGGGACACCCGCTGGGAGCAGCAGGTGACAATACATACAGACCTCACAAGCTTTTATCCTTTTTTGTCAAGGTTACACTTTAGACTCTGATTTGTCTTTAATTCTTTTTTACATTTATCTATATGTTGTGTATGTATTCATGTATATCCATGCTCTATAGCACACACATGAGGAGATCATAGGACAACTTGTGGGAATTGGCTCTCTCTTTCCAATTTTATGTGGGTCCTGGGGATCCAGTTCAGGTCATCAAGCTTGGTGGCTCATGTTTATCTGCTAAGCCATGTTGTTGGCCGTTAGAGTTGGCCTGAAACTCACTATATAGTTACTTTCAGTGACACCCTCCCCATCCCTCCCAAATGCTGGGATTGTAGGTTTGAGCTGCTGTGGGTGGTTGAAATCTATGATTTCAGTGTGTCTGTATTCTGCATTCTCTGAACTCTGTGTGACTAGAGCTTAATTTGTTTACTTTTTAAAAGAAGATTTCTTTATTTTTTTTTTATTTAAATTGAGCTTTTGCCTGTGTGAGGATACCAGATTCCTTGGAACTGGAGTTACAGATAACTGTGAACTGCTATTTGGGGGTTGGGACTTGAACCCTGGTCCTTTGGAAGAGTGGCCAGTGCCCTTAACCTCTAAGCCATCTCTCTAGCCTCATATTCTTATTGTAAAAAAAAAAAAATCACTTACTGACAGACATCTGGATTGTGTTAGGTTTATTCTCACAAACAGGTTGCAGTAAGCATGCATGTATCTTTCCATACTTAAAAAACATACCTGGCCGAGCGGTGGTGGCGCACGCCATTAATCCCAGCACTCGGGAGGCAGAGGCAGGCGGATCTCTGTGAGTTCGAGGCCAGGCTGGACCGACAACCTCCAAAACAATACAGAGAAACCCTGTCTCGTAAAAACAAAAACAAAAAAACAAAACAAAACAAAAAACCCCCAGAAAAACCACACCTGTAGGGCACATTCCAGATGTGTCAACAATACATACTTACCTAAAATTTGCTGAACTTACCAAACTTTCTTCAGAAGAAAAGTATACCAGCATACATGCCCACCCATAGAGTAGGAAAAGTGTCTTTTTCTTTAATCTTGTTAGCGTTGGATTTTCTTATCAAATTTGACAATCTTGCCAACACGTATGCCAGTCAGTTGTCTTTGTCTGCTGTCTATTGCTGAGATAAACGCCATGATCAAAAGCAACCTGGGGAGGGAAGGGTTTATTTGATCTTATGCTTCCACACCACAGTCCAACCTGGAGGCAAGAACTTAGCAGAGATTGCAGAGGAACGCTGCCAACTGGCTTGCTCTCCACGGCTCACTCAGTTTCTTTAGACCAGGACCACTGGCCTAGGAACGGCAATGCCCACAGTGAGCTAGCTGCCTGCCTGCTCCCACCCCCTTGCCTCAGGCCAATCTGATGGCAGCATTTTCTCAATTGAGGTTCCCTCTTCCTAGATGACTGTAGCCTGTGTCAAGTTGACAAAAATTAATTTAATTTAATTAAAAAAGAATAAAATTAACTAGCACAAGTTGTCTTCAGTGGGTACTGAAAAAGTCAACCCAAAGCAGGCAGCAATATAGATAGAATGTACTTCGTTTTAAAATACTTTGAAGGTAGACACAAACATATTGTAGTATCATTTCTTAGCCCTGCCATTTGAGGTCAGTGCCATGTGTTATTCCTGAGGTGCCATGCCACCCATTTACTTTTGAGATACTGGCTGGGAGTTTACCAAGTAGGATAGGCCGTCTGGCCAGGGAACCCCAGGGATCCTCCTTTCTTTGCCTCCCTACACTGGGATTACAGACATGCACTACCACGTCTGGTTTTTGTTTGTTTTTGTGTGGGTTCTGTTGATCAAACTTAGGTTCTCCAGCTTGTGTGGCAAGTGCCTTACTGACTAAGTTCTTCAAGTTGATCTTGAAGAGTTTCCAGGTGAGGGTAGGAATTTGGAGTGAGAGGAGAGCTCTGAGGAGGCGTGAGAGCTGCACGTCTCTGTGGGTATAAGGATAAGTGTTTAGAATGCAGTTAGATTGTATTGTATTAGGAAGTGGGGGCAGGAGGGTCTCTTTTAAGATACACGAACTCACTGGCCTCTGGTGGTTGGCTGGGTTACGGTGTCAGATGAGGTTTCCTTCCTGTAGAGTGGGCTGTAAGTCTCATTAGACAGCAGTTGATTCCCGTCAAGGATGTCACTATTGTACCTTTAGGGATGATATCTTGCTGTGCTGGTTTTTTTGGGGGTCACAGTCACCACAGCTGGGTAGGACTATTGGTTTCTCATCCCCTTTTTTTCCAGCTTGCACAGCACCTTCTGGTACTAAGAAGGTAGTTCTCAGGAAGGAGGAGGCTTTGGGCTAGATCCAGCTCAACTCCTCTGAGTCCTGTGTTCTAGCATGTGCTGTCTTTAGCAACAGGCACTTACCTTTGACTTCTGGGATGAAACCAAGGGTAACAACAATGCTGTCAGTGTTTTGGGATTTTCTTCAACTCCCTTGACCAACAACTCAAAAGGAGGTTTTTCATGCCTGGCACTGGGAGAGGCATTATCATCCCAAATGTATAACTTCATTTAAACAATAAGTGCACGCACACACACACACACACACACACACACACACACACACACACACAAGTACTTTTGGTAAATGTAAAGTTAGATGATTCCCTGTGACTTTTTTTCCCCATGAACGTGGGTTTCTCTGTGTAACAGCTCTGGCTGTCTAGGAACCAGAGGCATGCACTGCCACTGCCCAGACCCTATGACTATTTCATACATTCTTAGTGTTATAGATCCCTCTTTTCTCTCCATTGGTATTGTTTTCTTTTCCCCTCTGCAATTTGATCCCCTACTCTTACCCCACATTTTCATTTTCACTTAGTATCATCTGTATCTTTCTATTCCCCTCTTTAGAGATCAATGTGATCTTCCTCATTGCTTTTCAAAATGTTCCCATCTCCTCCAATATGTAGAACACAGCTGGCCTTGAACCTATAGAGATGTGCCTGCCTCTGCCTCCCAAGTGCTGGCATACAGGTGTGCCCCACCACAATTGGCTAGATGTTACGTTTTCGATTTCAACTTGCCAGAAAAGAATGGGTTGAAGAAAGAGTGAGAATTTCATGATTTCCTGAACTCGAGTCCTTTTAGATCTCTTAGCGTGGGAACTAGCAACGAATCTTGGGCTTTAAGTTCCTGAAGCAAGGGTGGCTTTGACAAGCAGTCCATACTAGCGGCTCGAGTGGGGTCGGTGGGCGGAGACGTCGTTGTAACGCGGCCTGGGGCGCTCTGTGCTCGACTCGCCAGGTCTGGCTCAGTGCGTGGAGCTCTGCTGGCATCTGAGAGGTGAAGCCGGAAAGAGGCAGGTTCCTGGGGCAAAGGTGGCTCTGCAGCACAATTTAGGCCTCGGAGGAGCAGTGGTTGTTACACTCTACAGGATGGGATTTCCTGAAGCTGCCCGGTAAGTGGCATACGTGACGCCTGCGTATTTAAAAAGGTTCACAACTTGATTAAGTATTTAAGGTAAAGTATGACATTACTTCTTTAATATGACTTTAAAAGTTAAGAGTAGTTTTAAAGCTCAGTCAGCCTTAGGGAAAATTTGTTCCGAAGGAGGCGGCGAAGCCAGGAATGCTGACCCACAAGTCTGCAGAATCCAGGCAAGTCACCTTTTGGCTTCCTTTCCCACGGTTGGCTTTCTCCTTTGGTCTCTCGGGTTGCTTGAGTGGTTCGGAGAAAGCAGCCAAATAAATACATGTGCCGTTGGACCCTTGCAGACATGTCTCTGAATCAGGCCCTCATTGCTGCTCGAATTCTTTGTGTCTTGCTTTCTTTCTCTATGGCGCGCCTGGTCCTTCAGGTACCTCTGTCCCAGCCCACTGCGATCCTCAACTGCCTTGCAGCCTCTCAGGGTTGCTCCTCCTCTGGACGCTTGGTTTTCAGCCGCCTTCTGTAACTAGTCCCAGATTGTGCGTACCCTCTTTCGAATCTTCCTGTCTTTCCCTTCACTGGCTCCTTGCCTCAGTTACCAAATACCAGGGAATCTTCCTTTGTCCACAAAATCTATTTTTCTTTTCTTCTTGCTTTAATTTTCCCTTTTCACGGTGAACCTTTGTTTCGGTTTCATCAAGACAGGGTTTCTCTGTGTAGCCCTGGCTATCCTGGAACTCTCATGCTGTAGACCAGGCTGGCTTCAAACCCAAGAGATCTGCCTGCCTCTGCTGGGATCAAAGGCCAGGATGAACGTCTTATAAGTGAACCACCTTGCTTCTCTGTGTGCTGGGACACCTCAGTATGGTCTGAGTTCAGGTGTGTGCTGAGCCTAATGAACTGATTATCCTTGACATGTTTTCCATCCTTAAAAGTCTTTAACCATGCTGTGGCTTTTAACACTAACAGACTCTTTTTCTCTTGCAATTCTTGGTAATCAGTCATTTATTCACACATTTGGTTCTATAAAGGGTAGGGGCACACTTACAGAGCCCATTATAGCCTTCACTTTTCTTTTTTTCTTTTTTCTTTTTTCTTTTTTTTTTTTTTTTTTTTTGGTTTTTACGAGACAGGGTTTCTCTGTATTGTTTTCGAGGCTGTCGGTCCAGCCCAGCCTCGAACTCACAGAGATCCACCTGCTTCTGCCTCCCAAGTGCTGGGATTAAAGGCGTGGGCCACCACCGCCCGGCTAGCCTTCACTTTTATAAACTCTGGGGTGTTCTTCCTCTTTGTGGTCTCACTCTGCTTTCTCTGCTTAGAATTTTATTTTTGTTCCCAACATTAAGACCCATCTCAAATATCCACAACCTTTTGTAATCCTTAGGTCTACTCCAGTTTTGGTCTGTTGGATTAATTAAAGTTGTGGCTTTTCCTGCCCCCTAGGATCTGCCTCATAGTGTGTAAGTGCTTTTGAGTCAAACAAAGGGGGTTGACCCTTGTTCTTCCTAAATCTGATTCATCCATTCTGCACTGGTGAGCCTGGGACCCCACCCAGTTCACTCTTGTAGCTAAAACCCCTTAGCAAAAGTCAAGCTATGGAAAGCAGACACTGGTGGTATAATTGGCATAGATACTTCATTTTCTTCAGAGTAAAATTAGGAAGTTTGTCCACAGATTTTTTTTTTTGAGACAGTTTCACCCTGTAGCCCAGGCTAACCTTGTTTTAGATGCTTCAACTTTTGAGTATATCCCTGCAGGGTCTCACAAGCAGGTGGTGTACAGTCTGTAATTCCCCCCACAGTTAAGATGCAGGATGATTCTGTGACCTGGCTCTCTTGTCCTCTGGTTATTCTTCTCTTCTGAGACAGTCTCACAATGTAGCTCTGGCTGTCCTGGAACTCGCTTTGGCCTGGAACTCAGAGATCCGCCTGCCTCTGCCTCCCGAGTGCTGGGATTAAAGGCGTGCGCCACCCTGCCCAACTCTTTAGTTCTTTATGTACCCTTCCTGCAATCCTTGCTGGACCTTTTCTTTGCAGCCCCTGCTCTGTTTTCTGCCTCTGTAGTTTGCTCTTTTTATGAATGTCAGTGTATCCATTAAAAAGGCAAACGGGCACTGCTTTAATTTTACCACCCATTGATGATTTTCTGACTTTTTCTTCTGTTTTTACTAACTGATATTCTGCTTTAAGAAACAACTTTCCTTCCTCTCCTGACCTTAAATGTATTCATACACACTGTATGAAGTCACTGGTCATTGTTTTACCCAGGGGTGACACTCCTTTAGTATTTGCTGTTTTGGTGCTGAGAATGCCCCTGATTTGGCCAGTTGGAACCCCCTCAAGTTGACACTTATGTCCCACAAGTCTTTATAGTACTAACCTTGACTTTTTTCTGGTTCAAGAAGATAGCCCATTTCCTTCTTGTACTGTCTTTTTAAAATCTTTTAATATTTATTTGCGTGTGTGCGTTTGGGCATGCAGATGCGGGTGAGTGAAGGTACCAGGTTCCCCGGAGCAGGAATTGCAGGTGGTTGTAAGTCGTCTGAGGTGGGTTCTGGGAACGAAATTTGGGTTCATCTCTCCAGCCCCTCTTACATTTTCCATGTCCCATCCCTACCATCAGTCATTTCTCCAAGGAGTCTTGGTTTCCTTTAGTGAAAAATGATGCTGAGACACCACATATGGTCTCTAGGGAGGTACTCATTATTGCCACTCCCAGGCCCTCTCAGAAGACACAATAGACACACATATGCATTAGGTTAGCTTGTTTTTAAATAGAAATTTAGGGATAATATCACATGACATATGTGCCTCTATACTCACATTAGAATAGGGATTAGAAAACTAGTTTTGTTTTGTTTTTTAAGTTTTTCGAAACAGGGTTTCTCTATGTAGCCCTGGCTATCCTGGAACTAGCTCTTGTAGACCAGGCTGGTCTCGAACTTACAGAGATCGGCCTGCCTCTGCCTCTCCAGTGCTGGGATTAAATGCAATGTGTAAATGGTGTCATTTTAGTTGTGTGTGTGTGTGTGTGTGTGTTTTACTGTTTTTGTTCTCCAAAGAGGGAGAGGTGACCAGAAAGCGTACCCTACTAACTTTTTTGTCACAATATCTGTTTGGGGCCTGCTAACCTTTTTGCCACTTAGAAAATATTGACAGTATTTACTTACTTCACAGTTCAGAAAACTTCCAAAGTGCTCCCGCTACACACTGTAGGTGTTGGGTGACCTGTGACTGTGTCCCCCGCACATTTACCTTTCTCCTACCCTGTGCCTCTAGTTCATTCCGTGGTTAAGTGATTGAAATGGGATTAGTCATTGAATTTGAGTTATAGCTCAGGAGTTCTGGAAAAAATGAACTTGACTCTTCAGTACAAAATGGGAACTATCCCCTGGTCACAGCCACCGCGGTGGCACTTGCCACCGTGTCCTAGAGAGGTTTCTGTGATCTCTCAGCTCTTGAGGCTGTGTATCTGTCACGCCGCTTGGGCTCACCTGCCAGCTCTGAGGACAAAGGGACGTACTGATTGCTTGTGAACTTTACTCGCCAGTGCCGTCGCACGTTGCATAACCCTCTCTGATCAGAAAAAGCGACGACTCGATGACCTGTTCCCTACTCTATTGAAGACTGGATGACTCAACTGGAGGACTTTCGTATTCATCTCAGATACTAAGAATAACTGTAACTTTTTGGAAATGATTTTAAACTACTCTATTTAAGATACACTTTGGGTGCTGCACAGCTCACCATCTAAAGTCTGATCAGGGTTATCCTTACCATGATCAGTTTTAGAACATTTTCCTTCCCCCACCCTCCTAGCACATACCCCAAATGCTTTCACTTCCTGTCTGTTTCAGTTGTAGTCTGACAGTTGCTCACCCACTCCCTGTCTCTGGATTTGCCTACTCTACGTGTTACATATACAGGAAGTCGTGTGGTGTTATCCTTTCATGGCTGGATTCTTTGATTTAACATAGTATTTTCAAGAAGCTGTATTCCTTTTGAAGGCTGAATGATATTTGCGTGAAAGCCCCTCCTTACCCTTGTCATTACTGGTCTTTTTTATTTTAGCAGTCCTTGTGCCTGTGACGTAGTACCTCATAATCTGATTGTATCTCCCCTGTAACTAACCATTTTCTGGAGATCATTTCCTGGGCTGCTTATTCACCATTTGAGTGTCATAGTTGGAGACTATGTCAGTTAAAGTCTTCAGCAATGTAAATTATGGGTATTGTTGAATTGTAAGAGTTCTTTTAAAAAGCCTGGATTGTGCCATGAACACACTAGGTGTTTTGTATGAGCTTTTTGTTTAAAAAGCCTGGGTTGTGCCATGAACACACTAGGTGCTTTGTATTAGCTTTTTGTTTTATTGTGTTGGCTATTAAATCCAGGGCATCGTGTATGCTAGGTAAGTGTTTCGTCACCATGCAGCGCTTCCACAGACAAGCATCTTTGTGTAAAAACACCACATGGTAGGTAGCACTAAACTCACTATAGATAAAGTGGAGATCAGAGGCAAGACATTTTAGCTGAAGACAGTTTCAGATTTAGAAGTAAGGTCTTAGCTACCATCACAGTGTAAAGTTGTTGATGATACAGAGCCTGTGAAGGCCCTATAGTGAAATTTGCCATGTATCTAGTAGGAATCCAAACACAAACTAGAATATTCTTTAAATTAATCTTTAAGCCCCTTCTAACATCCACTGCTAGACTTAGTCCAGTAAACTTGTATTTACCAAATTCAAATAAAAACAAATCACAATTTAGTTTCTACTAATTTTTTTTTTTCGAGACAGGGTTTCTCTGTTGTTTTGGAGGCTGTCCTGGAACTCACTCTGTAGACCAGGCTGGCCTCGAACTCAGAGATCTGCCTGCCTCTGCCTCCCGAGTGCTGGGATAAAGACATGCGCCACCAATGCCCGGCCTCTACTAAAATTTTTTATCAAAAGAAGTTATGAGACTCTAGGCACAATGGTATGTATACATACACCAGTATTCCCAGGACTCGGGACGAGAGGGTGATGGGAAGATCACTTAAGCTAGCCTGGGCAACACAGCAGAACAAAACAAAGTAAATAATAAAACAACAAGAAATCAGGAGAAACATTTTCTGTGTGAGAGCTATCTGAATTTAAGTTATTATTCCGTTTCTTTTAAGTAGGGCATGTATCAAATAACTTGCAAGAAAGGATGTTCAGAAAATATTAACAGTATTTTGTGTGTTAACCTTTCTTCTAATCTAGAAGTTAATCGATGATGAGCTATTTCAAACATGGGAGACCTTAACCTTTGGAAATATGTCTGGACCTGCCACATAGTCAAGATATTTTGTATACTTTGGGGCTGCCAGGATCAATTGTTTTATCAGATAGAGTCAAGAAGTGTGTAGTTGCCAGACGTTGGTGGTGCATGTCTTTAATCCCAGCACTCGGGAGGCAGAGGCAGGTGGATCTCTGTGAGTTCGAGGCCAGCCTAGTCTATAGAGCCAGTTCTAGAACAGCCTCCAAAGCAATACAAAGAAACCTGTCTTGAAAAACAAAAACAAAAACAAACAAACAAAAAAGTGTGTACTGGGAAAAGGGCACATGGATGATTAAAGGTTGACAATCAGACTTATTTATTTAAGATAGGGTTTCACTATGTAGCCCTGGCTGGCATGGAGCTTACTGTGGCCCAGGATGGCCTTGAATTCACAGAGATTTACCTACCTCTGTCTCTAAAGTGTTGGAATTAAAGGCGTGTGCCACACCACATGAGGCAATTTTTTTCTTAAGACTCATTTATTTTATATGTATGTTTATTTTGTCTGAATGTATGTTTGTGAACCACATGCGTTGCCTGTAGAATGCATTGGATCCCCAGGAACTGGAGTTACAGATGGTTGTGAGCCACCATGTGAGTGCTGGGACTAGAACCTGGGTCCTCTGGAGGAGCAGCAAATGCTCTTAACTGCTGAGTCACCTTTTCAGCCCCAGAGTTTCAGTTTTATAAGATGAAAAGGGTTATAGAGCCGCATGGTGCTGATAACTGCTCAACATTCTAAAAACATTTAACATCACTGAACTGCACAGTTAAAAGTAGTTTGGGTGATGAAGTTTATGTGATGTGGGCTTGAGATATGGTCTCATGAAGCCCAAGATGGCTGTGAACTCACTGTGTACCTGAGGATGATCTCCAGCTCTCTGTCCCCTGCCTCTACCTCCCAGTTGCTGAGATTACAGGTGTACACCACTAAAGACTAGAGAAGATCATAAACACTCACAGGACTGTTCTGTGCTTACACCCAGAAGGAACTTGCATTCCGTTAAGAGATTGCCCCCAGATTCCCTTTTTGTCCCACCTGAAACAAACATTTACCCTTCCCAGCTATCACTGCCCCAGGGATGGACTCAATTCACTGGTCCATAAATGGTGTCAGCGTTGTCACATCCCCTAGGTACTTGACTTTTTGGCGGTGTTTCACATAGCTGACTCTTATCCCCTACACTTTCTGCTCTAGGCTTCTGTGACCTTTGCCTGGTTTCTGAATGAATCCTCATTGGCTCCTAGACCTCTAAATAATGGGTTCCAGAGGCATTGTCCTGTCTTGCCTTCTCTGTAGTCCATTCCAGGGTTTCAGTACTTTTGATTCTGTTGGTTGCTACCCCACTTGATCTCCAGCCTGCATTGACCCCTGTGAGTTCTGGACTCTCCTGTCCTGCCTCTGACGTCACAGCCTTCTCCAGCTGGTGATGCTGAGGTCGACCACCAGTCCTCTCTGCTCCCACTTCACTCTTCCTGCTTAGTGCACTGTTACTCCCAGGTACTCCATGCCCTCTTGCCATGTCCCTGCCCCAGCAACGAAGTCTCTAGATTCTGTTTTTGTTTTGAATCCTTCGTTTCATTTCCATTAGCAGACTGTGCCCACAGTCCAGGCCACCGTCACTCATACCTGGACCACTTCAGCGGCCTCCTAACCATTCTCTTCACCTGTTTCATGTCCCCCTGGGTCATTGTGCACACTGTTGGGAGGATTGCCATAATACTTTTCTACTTCACCGCGCTGTCTCTGTGCCGCCCCAGGTTCCTAGCTTTGTGCTGCCTGTGTCTTGTGTCCAGTGTCTACCTTCAGGCCGTGTCATTTTCTCCCCATTTGCTGTGTTGGTTACCTTGATCTTATTTTATTTTCTTTCTTCATAACATCTTTTTTGCCCTCGAGATCTTAGCAGCTTGGTCTTTAGGGAGGCAGAGCCCCTCCTTGCTCTAATAAGGCATTAGCTGGACCTTACCTCTCAGATCATTCCTTCAGCATTATTGCCTTGCATGATGCCTGCAATCACTGGGTGTTGCTTATGTGTTTAAGGGCTGGTGCTTTCCTTCTCCTTCTTCCTTCCTTCCTTCCTTCCTTCCTTCCTTCCTTCCTTCCTTCCTTCCTTCCTTTTTCTTTCAAACAGGGTCTTACTATATATTCCTGGATTCCCTATGTAGACTAGGATGGTCAGAGATCTATCTGCTCCTGTTTCCAGAATGCTGGCATTAGAGGCATGTACCACTATGCCCAGCCAGTTCTTTTTTTCTGAGACATGGTCTTACTAGGTAGCCCAGGTTAGCTTGAAACTCACTATGTAGCTACTTTGAACTCAGTCCTCTAGACTCTCTCTCCTAAGCACTGAGATTATAGGCATATACTATCATGCCAGCTTAGATGGTTATGAAATGACTCAAAGAGGAATGGGAGTGTAGCTCACTGGTAAAGACCTGCTTAGCATATACTAGGTCCTGGGTTCAATTCCCACATAGATAGATAGATAGATAGATAGATAGATAGATAGATAGATAGATGAAGATAGATAGTTGATACATAAATGATAGATGATTGATAGATGAAAATGGTAGATGATAAAGGGTGGATAGATGATTGATAGACAGATGATAAGAAACAGGGAAAGAAGAAAAGGAGATGTGTATTGGGGGTGGGGGAGAGGAGAAGGGGGAGGGAGGAGCGATTTTGTAATAGATGTGCTCCCCTGCCTTCACCAGTCTGTGCTGGTCTGTCAGGAATTGTCTAGCAGCTGATAGCTGAAAGTCGGCTGCTTCCTCAGACCTAATACTTCCTATAGCCTACAACCTTCATGGCTATTATTGTTTTCCATGGACTCCGCACTGCTAGGTGCTTCTCAGGCGCTTGTTTTAATTCAGCAGAGTCTTTGGCACTGGCTTTTCCCTCCCTCCCATTGTGCAGTGGGATGAAGACAGTCATTTGCTCAGAGTCCTACTGATTGTGAATGAAAGAGGCCCTTACAGCTTTAAGAGCTGTTGCTGATAACATCAGCCATTATCAGTGGTTGTCTCCCAGGTATCAACCATGTGCTATACAACACATTATCTCCTATCACAGGTAGACAGGAGTCTCTAGTCCAGCCTTGCCTGTGCCCACTGCCTCGTCCACATCCTTGTAATTAGGCTCTGCTTGCCAGCATCTCTCCATTGGATGATTGCAATGGACTCTTAGTTGATCTTGTCTCCCAGCTTGCCCCTTTTCTAGCTGACAGCTAGATTTCTTTTTCAAGACACACATTAGATCATCCTCCAGTGTTTTGATTATACTTAAAACTGAAACTTGGTGTGGGGGGATGGTTTGTTAATTTGTCTGTTTTTTGTTTTGTGATGAGGTTCCAACATGGGCCCTTAAGCATGATGAATGCATATTCTACCACTGAGCTACATGCCAACCCTTTACACTGAAGTGAAAGGGACTGGTGGCACGTTAGTGGCAGAGTGCTTGACTAGCATGCCCAAGAGTCTGGATTCCATCCCCAGCACTGCAAACAAATGGATAAATAAATAGGCAAAAAGAAAACTGAAGAAGCAAAACCCACTGAACCACTTACCTAAGGCCTGGAGGCCGTGTTCTGTTCTGTGCCCTTTGGTTTCTCTCTGCCTGCTTTTCTCCTCTGCTATGACCATGGCAGCCTTGCTTCTTTAGCTTCCTTGTATTTCCTCTTCCACCTTTGGACCTAAGGTCCTTCAGGCCAGCTTTGGCTTTCCCACCAAACCTCTTGTAGGTCTGGTTCATTTAGCAGTTGAGTAATATAAATACTACCTCCCTGGAGGGGCTCTCTGTGACATTATCTACAATATCATTCCTGACATAGATGTCCCTTCTCTCTGGCCACTTAGCTGCTCTTTGTTCTTGTTTTGTCAAAGATCCCTCTGGCATGTAAGTTTCATAAGGGCAGCTTCACCTAGTGAGAACTCAGTATTTGTTGTGGGATGAAGGTTAGGTAATTGTTTTACACACTTACTAAAAGGTTTTCTTTAGGTCACAGTTGCAACATCTCTGTCCTTGGGCTTTTTGAAAGTTACTGTTGCGTATATGTTGAAAACCCAGATACCCCCTGTGACTCCCAGAGCTGACGCTGATTCCTTCCACAGCTCCTTCCGAGCGCATCAGATTGAGGCTGCGCCCACCAGCTCTGCCGGTGATGGATTCAAGGCAAACATTGTCTTTAAGGAGATCGAGAAGAAACTTGAAGAGGTGAGAGACCAGAGCCAGGGCTGGGAGGCCCATGGTTCCAGCTGATGCTAGCGGTAGCACAAGGTGATCATGTCATGTGCTGAAATAGTCTGTGTTTCTGAGTCCTGAGTGTCTCACAGGCTTATTTGTAATTCTAGTTAAGACTGCAGTTTGAAATGTACACATCTCCAGATTCGTTTCTTTTTATTGTTGTTGTTTTTGTTTGTTTGGGTTTTTGGTTTTTTGAGACAGGGTTTCTCTGTGTGCAGTCCTGGCTGTCCTGGAGCTCACTCTGTAGACCTGGCTGGCCTTGAACTCACACAGAGATCCAGCTGCCTCTGCCTCCCAAGTGCTGGGACTAAAGGTATGGGCTACCACCACCCAGTGCACATCTCCAGGTTTGAATGTAAAGACTATAGCAAATAATGTTTAAAATTATTTCATTCTAGTCTTCTTTGTCGGGAAGATATCCAGTTGTGGGTAGTGGGTATAGTTCAGGTGCAAGGAGCCTCATTGGATGAATTGTTTGCTGGCCACAAACACGTAGTAGTCCTTCAGCCTCAGCTCTGAAGAACTGGGCTTGACAGGGTAGTCATCACACTCAGTTTTCAAAGTCTTTTTTTATTAGCTACTTCCTTCTTGCAAAACAGAATTCTAATTTTAAAAATTCACACAATACAGGAACACATACAAAGGAAAAACATTTTAGGTAGCTCTGGAGATGGTTCAGAAGTTGAGAGCATATCTGGTCTTGTAGAGGACCATTGAGTTTCCAGCACCCACAGAGTGATTTGAAACAGTGAGTAACTCCACTTCCACAGGATCCAGCACCCTCTTTTAGCCTCTCCAGGCACCAGGCACATGTGTGGTGTACTTATATAAATGCAACTAAAACATTTATACATATTATATTTTGATACCCTCACACAGTCGTATCAGCAGGCAAAACACCAATGCATCCAAAATAAATAATAAAAAATAAGTACAAAAAAGTAAATCTTTTTTAAAAAGAAAAAAAATGTCAAAATTTCCCAGTTGTACCAGTTAGAGTTCACTAAAATGTTAGCATAGTAAACTAGACTAAAATGTCAAATGCACACACTTAGCTACCCATATGATACATGTTGGGTTTATTGTACTACACATGAAAATCTATTTTTATATACCATAATTAGTTTGTTAAAATTTTTTTAGATTTGTTTTATGTGTATGGGTGATTTGCCATCATGAACTGGAATTATGTTGTGTGTGTGTGTGTGAGAGAGAGAGAGACAGAGAGACAGAGACAGACAGAGAGAGACAGACAGACAGAGAGAGAGAGAGAGAGAGAGCGCACTGCTGTGTGGGTACTGGGACTCGAACCCATGTTCTCTACAAGAACATGTGTTTTTTGGTTGTTGTTTTTTAAGATTTATGCGTATGAGGCACAGAGGGAGCAATGAGCTCACGTCTTAAGTCCCTTAATGTAGAGCGAGGACTTCTTAGCAGCTGTCTGCACTGTAGCTAGTGTGCCCTGTGAAAGGACCAGCATTCCCTAGCCTCCGGGGCCGGAGCAGATGATGCGGCACTAGGAGGTGAACTGCAGGACCACCAGGCCGCCGTTGTGGGGCATGACCTCATCCTGTTTTTGCCTGCAGTATGCTTTGTGGCCGTGCACATAGGTCTTTAAGAGCACGCTTTTCAGTACATTGACATGCTTAATTAAATATGTGCCATAGTTTATTTAATTGACTTATGATGGCTGTATTCAATCTTACAAGTGCAACACTGCTGTTATAAATTTCCTCTTGTACTTCAAGTACTAAGTAGTTTAAAGAGTTAATGACAAAATTGGATAGTTAAATGGTGTGCAGTTCACATTTAGTGGAGCTTGCCAGACTCCCATCAGAAATAGGACTTACTAACAAACAATTCAAGAGAATAACTGCTTCTTTCTCTACACCTTCTCCAATACTGTATTGGCTTATTATATAAAAATCTTTGCCAGCCAAGTCAGAAAATGATAGCTCACGACTGTGTTTCAAATGCTTTTCACTATTGAGTGTCCACTGTAAAATGAGGACCTCTATGAGGACTTAGTTCAAAGGTCAAATAGGAGATTGGGTTAGAGATTACCTACTATGCAGTCTGAGGTTGGCCATGGATCCATCATGGAGGACTTCCTTACTGGGGCTAACAAAGAGGTGCTGTTTCAGTTCGCACTACGCTTTCAGCTGTGCAAGCTTATGTCTCTTGCTCTCATTTTAATTCTGTACTCCTTCATAACCTTATCCCTAGTCTGATTTTGCCTTCCCACGATTGTCAGTTTCCTCAATGTTTGCAGTGCTGGGAAGTGAAAGTCTGGACTCTTTCAATTAATGCACTTTGTGCCTTAGTGGAGGCAACCTAGCAAGAGGTTTTATTTCCATCTTTGTCTTTCTTACCAATACTCCACTGATGTTCTGAATTCCGTCCTCATTTTTTGTCCTATTGTGTTCACAGCAGCACCTACTCCTTGACCTTCATTCCACTCAGAAAGTACTTTTTCTCCCACAAGAGGCACTTAGGACTTCTTAGTAATAATGATCTCCAGTTTTGCAATTGCGTTTTTTTTTCTTTTAATTCTCTTAGCCACTTTCACTCCCGTTTCAAATGAAAATGTCCTATTGACTGAAGAGTATAGGTGTGTAAGAGGATCAGTTGGTTATTGAAACTGAACAGCAAGTAAAAGTTAATTCACGTCTGTTTTAAGCAGTTGGATGTGAGACTGCAGGGTTTCTTGGGCATTTAGAAGGTAGAACTTGTAAATGCTTGCTGGGGTTTTCCTGCTGTAACTCAGTGTTGTCTGCTCCTGGCTGGATCGTGAGGCACTGTGCAAGCAGATGGACACATCCGGAAGTAGTCATTCACTGACCCTGGCCCCAGAAGAAACTGGCTAGAGTTTGATCTGTAGGACTGAGGAGAAATGCACCTGTGACTACTGAGAAAAGTAGGCGCAGACTAAATACCTTAGAACAGCTACTTTGCTGTAAGACCCATGTCTGCTTTCTGGTGGGCTGGAGGGTAATAAGGAAGAAATAACAAGAAAGGCTAATTTTCTCTATGAGAAAAAGACTAATGCACCCAGTCACCTGACTAATAGAAGGTAGCAATCAGTGGTGAGGATGTACAGAATTTGAACCCTACTTAATGACTGCTAAGGTTGCAGTATTGGTGTTAACTATTTAGAAACAGTTGGTTAGTTCCTTTAAGAGTTAAACAGTACCTAATGATCCAGCAGTTTCCTTCTAACTACCTAGCTGAGAGAAATTAGAGCTTTTGTGTACATAAAAATGTATACACAAATGTCTATAGCAGCATTATTCATCAAAACCAAAATATGAAAACAATTAAAAGGGGGCTGGGGAGATGAGGCCTGAGTTGAGATTCCCTGTAAATGCAGAGCGTGGTGGGGCATCTAACATCCTGGTGTTTGTGGGGAAAAGACACATGGATCCTGGGAGTTTGCTGGCTAGCCAGTCTAGCTGAAACGTTGAACTCTATCTAGGTCCAGTGAGAGGTCTTGTCTCAAGAAGGTAGAAGCTGGGTGTGGTAGAGCACTCTTTGAATCGCAGCACTTGGGAGACAGAGGCAGAGCCTGGTCTACATAGTGAGTTCCAGGACAGCCAGGACTACATAGACAGAGCCTCTCTCGAAAAACCAAAACATAAAAATAAAAAAGAAACAAAGTAGAAAAACAGGTGAGAAAAACGTCAGTCCCTGGCATCCATGTGTGTCTGCATGAGTGAATATCCCTTTCCCCACATGTACACAGCATACACCACAGACACACATGCATACAATACAACAAAAACAAAAATAAACGAAATATGCCACATTCAGTGGAACATTTTCCGCCCATAGAAAGGAAAGGAGAGCAGGGAGTGGTGCTGGTTGATTCACAGTGCAGCATGAACCCTGAGAACATGCTAAGTGAGACAGGCCACTCACAAAAGATCACACGGTGTGTTCTATTTATAGGAAATGCCCAGAACGAGCCAGTTTATTGTGGTGTTCAGAAGCTAGTATCAGAAAATAGTGATGGACTGCAAATGGGTATAAATTTGCATGAGAAAATGAGACTTTTGAAATTAATGATGTTGGGGTGGCACGTTATATGTTAGTCACCCTCCCCATCTCTGTGACCACTTACTTGACGGGCACTTTGAGGAGAGACTGAACATGGTGGGAAGGCCTGGTGGCAGGAGCATGAGTCATAACATCACATCTGCAGCCAAGAGCTTCGAGCAGAGAAAGAAGTGCTGGCATTCAGCCTGTTTTTCCTTTTACTTAGGCTGGGATCCCAACACATAGCATGGTGCCACCAGCATCCAGGGTGGGGCTTCTCTGGAAATGCACACCAACAGCAAGGTGTGTCTCCTAGACAAGTGTAGTTCCTGCCAGTCGGTAATGAAGATTAACTGTCATACATATCTTAGAATATACTAAAAAAGTTATCAAAATGCATACTGTAACTGACTGAATTATACCTCAGTTGCTGTTATACCACACACACAGACACACACTAAGAGGAAGGGAATGAGGGAGGGAGGTTGACAGAGGGAGAGAGAGAGAAAGAGAGAGAGAGAGAGAGAGAGAGAGAGAGAGAGAGAGAGAGAGAGAGAGAGAGAGAGAATATAAATGTGGGCATGGTTCTGCACACATGGAGACAGGAAACAGGTTAGTGTATGGTGTCATTTGATGTAAATCCCTCCAGGGAAATAAGCAGTTGAGTATTTCAGGTGCTCATTACAGGGTCTGAACACAGTGAACAGTTTAATCTTTGTTAAGGGAGTGAATAGGGAGAAAGAACCCTGGATATACAAATTACTGCAGGGATGTTAAGTCTAAAACTAAGGAAGGAAACTGAACAGGAGAACTCCAAAACTGACCATAAGAAGATTTGCATATTGTCTATGTATCTGTAATAATTCAGCCATAAAATATAGTGAAAAGTATATTAACGAGCACTATAAAATGCCTAAGGATAAATTTATCTAGAAATGTTGCTAGGTATAGTTGCTCTTGACTGTAATCGTAGCACCACTTGGGAGGCTGAGACAGGAGGATTGCTGCAAATTTGAGATCAGCCTAAAGTGTAACCATGTAAAACCATGTGTCAAAACACACCACATACACACATACAGACATACAGACACACACACACACACACACACACACAAGTGTAAAAAATATTATTCTTTATAGAAAAATAAAAGGGCCAGCCAGACATGGTGACACACTCATGAGGCAGAGGAAGGATATATTAGTTAGAAAAGTAGATAATGTCCACCTATTTTGATTAGGGTCTCATAAATAGCCTAGGCTGGCCTAGAACTCATAGAGCTCAATCTGCCTCTGCCTTTTGATGCCAGGATTAAAGGATTGAACCACCATGTCTAGCCATCACATCAATTTTTAAAACTGTGTAGAGAAAAAAGATGGAATTCATACCAGATGTGATTTTTATTTATATGCTAAATTAGAAATGATTTGTATTTTCTTCTTTTTACATACCAATATTTGCTAATTATTCTACTGTGAATGTTTTTTTTTCTCTAAAGAAAAAGATTTCAAAAGATTAATTGTGCTGCTTTTGGCTTCTTTTTTAAAATTAATTTATTTTATGTGTATGGGTGTTTTGCCCTACATGCATGTTTGTACATCATGTGCATGCCTGGTACCCATGGAGGCCAGAAGAGGGCGTTGGATCTCCTGGGACTGGAGTTACAGAAGGTTGTGAGGCACTGTGTGGTTGAACCTGGGTCCTCTGGACAAACGGCCACTTTTTAACCACTGAGCCATCTCTCCAGACGCCGTGTTTTCCTTCCTTCCTTCCTTCCTTCCTTCCTTCCTTCCTTCCTTCCTTCCTTCCTTCCTTCCTTCCTTCCTTCCTCCCTCCCTCCCTCCCTCCCTCCCTCCCTCCCTCCCTCCCTCCCTCTCTCTCTCTCTCTCTCTCTCTCTCTCTTTCTTTCTTTCTTTCTTTCTTTCTTTCTTGTTGTTTGTCAAGAAAGGGTTTCTCTGTGTAGCTTTGGAGGCTGTCCTGGAACTCACTCTGTAGACCAGGCTGGCCTCAAACTCACAGACATCTGCCTGCCTGTCTCCCCAGTGCTGGGATTAAAGGTGTGTGCCACCGCTATCTGGCCTGGTTTTTCTTTCTTTTTTGTTTTTTTAATTATACATTTTATTTACTATTAGAGTCTGTGTCTGTGTGCATGAGGTAGGGGATGCCGTGGAGGTCAGAGGACAACTTAGTGGAGTGTATTCTCTCCTTTTACCTTCATGATGGTTTCTGGGGATTAAACTCAGGTCATCAGGCAAGCACTGAGCCATCTCACCAGCCTCTGCTTTTCTTTAGAGCAAGGTCATGAGCTGTTGACTTCTGTCATTGTCCACCCTGCCAGCGGCTCCTGTGTCCCTGTGCTCCCTTAAATTGGATGGTTTTGTCACTACGGTGCAGAATACTGCCAGCCTGTGTTTGACTCCCTCGCTACTGTAACCTTGGTGCTTACAACAGAGTCTGGGGCCATGAATGTTCAAGAAGGCGAAGGAAGCGGAGTGGGAATTGAGTGGGATACGAAGAGCAAGGAAAGGGGAAACTTGTCGGCCAGAGATTGCTGCGGCATTTTCTGTATTAGGCCACTGTGTTCCCAGGACCCAAAACTAAGGCAAATGGAATATTGTTTACGTAGTTCTTTATACTAAGACAGGAACTGAGCTTTTAAAGAAAAATTTGGTTTCAGAATCTCTTTAAGTTTTGATTGTGGAGAACCAAAATCAGAAGTTAAGGAGCTGAGTTTGGATCAAAGGCTGGTGGTGCCTGCAGGTAGACAGGCCAGAATGTTCGAACCTCAAACTGCTGGGGCGAATCCAGGCTCTTTCACCAGAAGACACTGGGTGCCTTTCGCCCGCTCCTTCCATCTGTACCACTGCTTCTCAGAGTTGCCAGATGGGAGAACTGTTGCCTTGTTTTCTTTCTGGGTTCTGAGTAAAGATCCTACAGAAGGGGACTCTGCTGTCCCTGCTTCTCACGTGTGCCTGTTTAAATATTTACTGAAAGCCAGAGGGGACATAAGGTAACAGCTCCCTGTGTTACTTCTGTTTCCAGGAAGGGGAACAGTTCGTGAAGAAAATCGGTGGCATTTTTGCCTTCAAAGTGAAGGATGGCCCTGGGGGCAAAGAAGCCACCTGGGTGGTGGATGTGAAGAACGGCAAAGGATCAGTGCTGCCCAACTCAGGTCAGTGCCATAGTGACTTCCCGTAGAGCAGTGACAAGGTCACAAGGACTTTGGGCTGGGTAGTCTGCTTCGGTGTTCCCACAAAGGCCTGTGTTGGAGGTTACAAGTCCTGGGAAAGAACTGTTCTATTCTTGGGAAGAGATGTTGGTTCAGACCACCCCCTCCAAATGTGAGGGGACTCTACACAAGAAATACTAGTCTTAGACTGGACATAGACACACCTGGCTTGGATTTCTTTCACTCCAGTTCTGACCTTGACCTAGTTATTCATCCTCTCTGAGGATTTCTATTGCTGGGATGAAACACAGTGGCCCAAAGCAACTTGGAGAGGAAAGCGTTTACTTCACACACAGCTCCATATCACAGTTCATCATCAAAAGCAGTGAGGGCAGGAACTCAAGCAGTGTAGGAACCTGGAGGCAGGAGCTGATGCAGAGGCCGTGGAGGAGTGCTGCTTACTGGCTTCTTCCCATGGTTTCTCAGCCTGCTTTCTTAGAGAATCTAGGACCACCAACCAGCCCAGGGATGGACCCTCCCATAATAGGCTGGGTCCACCCCCAACAATCACTAATCAAGGAAATTAATGCCTCACAGGCTTGCCTGAAGCCTGATGTCTTGGAGCCATTTTCTTAATCCAGGTTCCCTCCTTTCAGATGACTAGCTTGGGTGAGGCTGCCATGAAACTAGCTAGCTTGCCAAGCTTCAGTTTTCTTGCCTATAAGTGGCCACAAATATCGTCTGCTTCATAGAGTGTATGTGGGACTTGACAGCACTTTCTCTTGATTAGCCTGAGATCACATTATCCAGGGCTTGAAGGGCGACCTCCACAGACCTGGCTGAGTTCATGAGCTCTGCTTTTTCTCATCCAGTTCTTTCTTGAACCCATCCCATCCAGTTTTTGTCCTGATCTCTCCTAAATTTGTTCTTGCTAAAGTCCCTAGCAATTGCCACCTTACTAGATGCAGTTAATTCCAGCCTTCATATCACATGTTTGGATTTTTTTTTTTTTTGGAACTGGCTGTTCATTTTGGCCTGTCTTAATAATTTCTCCATCTCCTAAGTTCAGGCATCAGAGTGTTGCAAGGCTTAGTTCTGGTTCACTCACTCCCTGGGGATCTCATGTAGCCTCATATTTTAAAATAGTTTGCTGATGACTCCCAGGTTTATGTATTCCGCATAAACCCACCACTGAAGTCAGAGGTGTCTGTATTTAGCTGACAAGTGTACACAGATACCTGTCAGGGCGTTTTCTACTGCTATAACAAAATATCCCAGACTAGGTAAATAAATTATAAACAGTAATTTTAGTTGGCTCTCATTTTGGAGGCTGGAAATCCAACACAAGGCAGCTGCATCCGGTGAGAGGGCTTTGTTACTTTTATCTGATAGAGTGGAAAGGTCAGGGAAGTGGGAGGGAAGGATGGGAGCTGAGCTCCGCCCTTTCCCAGAAACCATCTCCTGAGGTAATGGCCTCTATCTGTTGCTGAGGGTAGAGACCTCATGGCCCTTGGCTCCTCTAAAAGACTTTATCATTTAATACTGATAGACTAGAAACTAGACTTTACGGTGTTTTAGAGGGCACATTAAACCATGTCAACACCTTAAAGATAGTGTGTGTGAAACAGAACTCTGGGCCCTACTCCTCTTGAAGCATGTATTCTGTGGTCTGCCGTCTTCCCAGTAAGTTGTGTTTTCTTAGTTCCTTAGTCCAAGTGCTGTGAGGTCATCCTTGGCCTCTCTTCTCATACTCCATGTCCTGCTGGATCTGAGCTTTGTGTCTCTGTTCCTGCCCTTGACTCTCACAGTTCTTTACACAGCAGCCTGATGGTCAAAAACCAGAGTCAGGTTTGTACCCTCTCTGCTCCAAACAGAATCGGGGTTTCTGTGACAACACTGGATGATCCGGCCAGCTTGTCTTGCTGTGTTCTCCCTCACTCACTTTGGTGACTTCCTGCTATAGCTTGAGCACGGGGTGTTCTCATTTGGGAGCTTCTATCTGTTCTGCCTGCCTGGGATTGTCTTTCCCAGATAGCTTCATTGCCTCATCTTTGCCCAAAAGTTTCCTTCTCAGCAGTCACTTCCCTAACCACACTTACTGTTGTTTTCTGCCTTACTTTTCTCTGTAGTGCTTTTCACTCTCATTTGCCGCTGCTGTCCCACCCTGAGATACATTCAGTGGAAGCAGACTGCTGCCATGAGGACCAACCTTCAGCAACTCATACACACTCACACACTCTCACTCACACACACACTCACATACACACTCACTCACACACTCTCACACACACAACACACTCACACACATTCACACACACATACTCACACACTCACGTAACACTCACACACACTCACATACACACTCACTCACACACTCTCACACACACAACACACTCACACACATTCACACACACATACTCACTCACACTTACTTTCAGGGTCTTTGTCTCATCTCTTTATTAAGGCAATGGGGATCCCCCAACACCCATCTATACCATGCCAGATACCAGAGAAAAATGGCAGTGGCAAACATGCAAAGACATAGCAGTAACAAGAGAGATTTCTGGGGTCAAAGCCCTCAGGGAACTTGCCTATCAGTGCTTTGCTTCCTGGGGGACCCAACTCCCGAAGCTCAGTTGCCACCTGCTGCTCCTCTGACAAATCCACAGGCAGCAGAGCTTTTGTCCGTTAGGCCACTGCTGCCTCCCAATAATCCACATAGTATGTAACACATGGTAGGCCCTCAGAAATGAGAAAGACACTAGTGGCATTTACTGCAGAAGCCATATTGCTGGAGAGGGGCTGGTATACTTTAGGAAGACGGAGTGCTGGGATCAACTTACTAAAGATTTTCAAATGTCACAATAGTGGGTTGGAGAGATGGCTCCGAGGTTCAGAGAACTGACTGTTCTTGCAGAGGACTCGGGTTCAGTCCCCAGTATGTGCATGGTGCCTCGTAGCTGTTCATAGCTCCAGTTTCAAGGGATCAGATGCCATCTTTTGACCTCTGCAGGCACCAGGCACACATTGTGGTGCACAGACATACGTGTAGCCCAAACACCCATACACATAAAACACTTAATTTTTTAAACTAGAAACATGCCGTAAGAACTTTGAAAGCTATTTAGTATATTATAGCCAAATCATTAAGCTTTTTTGTTTGTTTATTTATTTTTTGGTTTTTGAGACAAGGTCTCTCTCTGTCTCTCTGGCTGTCCTGTAACTCACTATGTAGACCAGGCTGGCCTCAAATTCACAGAGACTCGCCTGCCTCTGTGGCCCGGGTGCCCGGGTGGAAGTTGTGCACCACCACACCAGCCTCATTAGAGCTTCTAAGGAACTGAGTGCTAGCGTGTGAACTGGTGTTTGTGACTGCCCTAGTCGGCTTCCAGCTGTGAGGATGTAAAAACAAGGAGCGAGATTTGTTTTGGCTCACGGTCTTCAAGGGCCGCTGGCCTCACTGCATCTGGGCCGGTACATGATGGGGGAAACTTGGCGGGAGAGCATGGTGGACAAAAGCTGCTCGCTGCGTGTCAGCCGGAAAGCAGAGAGCCAGGAGCAGGCTGTACCCTCGGAGACACGCCCACAGCGACTGACTTCCTCTAGTCTGGTCCTGCCTGCTAGCAGCCCATTCAGCTGTGAACTCTTCTGTGACAAACTGGTGAAGTTTGAACCCTCACAGCCCGGCCACCTCTCAGTAGCACCTCCAGCTGGGGATCTAGCCATTGCCACACAAGCTGGCAACGCTTCCCTGGCAGCTGTAGTAGGCCTGATGGACTGCAAAGGAGTGAGCAGGGCCAGAGAGAACATTTAGGAGGATGGTGTCACCACACCCTGAGTGACAGCTTGGTGTGGCAGGGAACAAAGTGAGTGCTTGAGGGTGGGTGCTAGATCATTTCGCTGAGGGAAGAAAGGTGTTGCAGTGACACTGCTGTGTCATTAGTGAAGACGGTCCCGAAGGAGAGCTTGTCCTCAGGAACAGGTGGAGGAGAGCTCTTACAAGGGATGGACATCCCTTTCCCTGCAATTGTACTTAGGTATCCAGGCTCTCCAGAGGGAGGGGTGCTTGGGAGAGTGTGAAGCATTTAGAAAAAGAGAGAATGCTTAGGGGCACTGCTTTGTGCACTGTCTAATAGGACCAACAAATAGGGAGCCTGTCAAGTGTAGCATGGTAGCTTTGTTGCAGAGGTTCCTGAATTAAATATAGGGTCCCCCCAAAAAAATGAGTGAGCAGAGAAATTGTTTGCATTCCATGAGCTGCCACGCTGAAGTGGTATAAGAAGAAAACTTTTAAAGGTGTCATCTAAAGGCAGCTTTTAAAAATAGAAGGTGCTCTAGGGACTATAGTAATGGCTTTTTGAAGGGTGGGTGGGTCTCACTATGTGCCCTTGGCTGGCCTGGAACTTGCTATGTAGTCAAGATTGGCTTTGGTAGAGATCTACCTGCCTCTGCCTCCCAATTACTGTGATTAAAGACATGGGCTCCATATCTGGCAGTAGTGGCAATTAAAACATAAATAAAGGTTAATAGTTACTTAGAATTGTGTTTCCTGACAGATGTTAAGGAATTTTAAATAGTCTCCTGTGTTGTTCTCTTTAAAGCTGGTTGTTTGGTCACGAAAGATGGTTTGCTTACAGAAGGCTATCAATGATGTCAAAAGGCCTTGCTCCCTGCACAAACACTGCCAGGTGCCCTCCTCCCTGTTTTAGGTGCCCTGTTCCAGACCTGAATGACGGTAACCCTGGGGCAGGGGAATTTCTGCTAAACCTGACACCTGTTGGCAGCCAGGAGTTGTGTTTAAATGTGCCTGTGAAAGCCATCACTGGAAACTTCCAGTTACTCTTAGCTTCACAACAAATGCTCATTTGCTAGATGCTAGCTATGTTAAAGCCTCGGTAACATGTCCTAGTTTGAACTGGAACCATGAGGAGAATTGCTGGCTTTTCTGGTGTGTACACAGATTCAGGAGACTTTTTGTTATTGTTAAAAAGTAAGGTTTGGCT